TTATTTAAGTTGAAAAGTTTACCCTTGAGAAAGTTTTTGTTAAAGCTGACCATAGAATTTTGGTAGTCAAAAACAAAGAAAAAAAGGAAAGTGATATTCAAAGATTTGTTGAAATATAAGGATCAAAAGGCCATGATCTATGTTTTCGTATTTATTGATGTAAGAACATATTGGAAAAAGAGAAAGAATTGTTCAAACCTTTATAAGTTTAACGTTAAAAGTTAGTGTAACCGAGTTTAAATTTTAAAGTTGTAACTTGTTCGATGTGTTTAGTAACCAAGTTTATACTCAAAGTTATGACGGCATACATGTACAATTTTAATAATCCACTGAATCAGCTGAAGCGATTGTTAGGCTTACAAAACGAAGGATGTAACTGGAATAGGAACACTTTCTGTTTTTAGTAATCATTTGAAGCAAAGTGGATAACATTGTAAAATTAACAATTTCAGGGACTGAAAAGTCTGGGGGAGGGTCATGTGACAAATCACGAACTACACGTTTTATATTAGTCTCCCTTATCTCAACTGTATGAGCCAAATAGCCCTGTTAAGTAGGTGTGTCTTTAGTCACCTACTGAAATCTGATTGGTCAAATCCTTTTGTATTGAGTAAAGCACACGTGTACAAGATTATAGGGATGTTGGCCTATAAAAGGCAGAGCTGATGAAATAAAACTCACTTCTTGATCAGGTGGGGCCGAAGAAGTCAAACCAATCTCCTGTGCCTAATTTATTGTTGATTGTCTAATTAATTATACTTGGTTAAAGGGTGTGGTCCACAGTGATCCACATTAAATCCACCCGTGATCCACCCAAATCCACCCGAATCCACCCCCTTTCCACAGTGATCCACCCAATCCACAGTGATCCACCAAATCCACTAGGTCACCCCGCCCCCAAATCAAACCACAAGTAATCCACACTACCACTGAGGCAGAGAAGGGCTCAACAAGAAGCATCCCGGAGCTGTGGCATTCAACCGCAGGTGCTGACGTCATTAGACCTGGCAGGGCTAGGGAAACCGATTGGCTACGCACGTTACATTATGCACTGCCTCTGTTCATCATGGCAGTTTGCACCAACATAGGGTAAATCCCAGTTGCAGAATTTGTTCTTGAAGAGGAAACATCTAGGAGTATTGCAGAGGCTCTTCATGTCATAAAAGGGTGGATGAACAGCGATGACGCAAAGAAGTCTTGGGAGCCAAGGTAAGTTTCAGTCTACTGTGAAAAAAAGTAATAATAAAAAACATCTTGTTTTACCAAGCTTGCTTGTAATCAGTTTTGGGAGTTTACTGACTTTGCAATACTTCACATTTTGTCACAACATATAATGCAGTTTTTTTTCTGACTAAACTGTTTTGAGGGGCAAAACCTTTTTGTAGGACCAAATATTTTTTTCATTGCATAGTTTGATATGAAACTGAAATTTAATTTTACCAGTTTGCATTGGATGATTTGTATAATTACACGCAAAGGCTTTGCAGGATTTGGAAAGAATGACAGATAAACACGCAGGGAGCGAGGCTGGAAATATCTGTTGCGACCCGCTTGCACCGAGCAAGGCCGGAAATATCAAGGTGTTCTACTCGCAGATGACAGCGTGAACCCATCTGGCATGGAGGTTCAAGAAAACTAATCTGATGCCACGGTCAAGTCACTGTCAAAATAATCCCGGCTTGAATTGTTAACAGAGAAGCGTCTGAGTGATTTTATTTTAAATTCATAAAAATATTACACTTAATAATGTTTTTTTTTCTCCTCAGCAACTTCATGACCGACTACAGAGATGCTGAATACCAGGCTATCAAGAAAGCATTCCCAAACAGCAAATGCTATTTGTGTGCCTTTCATAGAGAGCAAGCATGGCTACGGTGGTCACGGGACTGTGAGTTCAACATTGATTGATGACATTGTCAAACACTTGCATCTGCAGAAACTTGACATGGCTTGAAATATTATCACAAAATGGTTCTCAATCCATGATTCTCAAAGAGTGACTTATCACGGCCAGACTGTTGGAGGTGCATTGGCAAGGGCAACTTGACCTCATATGACTTTTGAACTTGGCATTTGACCTTTGAAATCTCTATTATATGAAGGTTGCCACTTTGCATAGACGACCCAAGTTTGGTTCAAGTTGGACTGAAATTGTTCACGTTTCAATTTTGAGATATGTTTTTCTTGTGTACAGCAAAACATCAGCTCTTGCCAACAGAGAGGAAGACTTTTCTCACAATGATGAGGAACATTGCAATTGCTCCAACTGAGAATGAGTATAATGAGGCAGTAAGATGCCTCAAAGAGAGTACACTATACAGGATGAACAAGCAGGTACAAGCCTATGTCAACTCAAAGTGGCTAACCATCCCTGAGGTAAGTGTTGAATATGCATTATTTGATAGTTTGATCTCTGGCTGTTTCCCTAAGTCACACATGGGGTCTGTCTAAAACTTCTTAACACGCCTTTGGCTCAATCACACTGTAGCTGGGCCCTTCACAGTTTAGTTTCTCAGCTTGAAGTAAGAATGATACCCCCCCCCCCGAGTCATTCATTATCACTTGGCATTAGCATGTGCCCCTTACAACATTAATTCATTCCTAATATTTTTTTACCAGTTCACCCGTGTGTCCAAAAATGGCCGCTGATAAACGAATGTTCGAAGTATACATACAGGGAGCTTGTATATCGATTTAGCATGCATTTTGTTCATGTGCACATTTTATTTTTCCAAAAACAAGCTGCAGCTTTCAAAAAGTAAAAATCATCACTTGAAACACAGGGAACCTAATAAGCGACAAAATGTGAGCCAGGTGAATGACAATGTTTCAAAATTGAATGACAATGTTTGGGGACAGATGGCAACTTGTCCTTTATCAAGCACACACCTGTCTCCCCCATCATAGCTTCAAACGACTAATGTGGTTCTCTAGTATGTTATCCAGACAGTACATACATGCAGAGATCAGTGAATCTGCAACATGAAATAGACTATCACTTACAAAAGAAACACAAATTTATAGTTTTCTATTGAAATAACAGTATATAAAATATGAGCAACATTAAAAATGTTATTTACTTACAGAGATGGTGCCAGAGTTTCTTTGAGACTGGATTCCATGTGCAGGTTACAACAAACAATGGAGTGGAATCCCTTAACCACAGTCTGAAATCGTTCCATTTACAACTGCGTTCTCTTGGGTCACTATCAAGTATGCTAGAAGTTTTGACACAGGACTTTGTAAGTGCTCAAATGCAGCGATACGCCCGTGAAAATTGGAGGCAGAGCACTTTCAATAAGTCATACAGCATGAAAGTACCAGATTTTCTTCACAACAGACCCAAACATGTCATTAAACACATGATGAGCAGGCTGGAGAATTCAAAGGTGTACAAGAAGGATGATGTAGCAATGACAGCACCAAGATGCTTCACAGTCAGAAGTGAAAGCGGAAAGCAGGGTCAATTTTACGAAGTAAGCTTGGAGTCAGCAGATCAGGCTCCCAAGTGTGAATGCCAGGATTGGAAGCAAACATTCTTACCATGTAAGCACTTGTTTGCAGTTCTCTCTAACTTTAACTTGACATGGGATGACTTACCTGTTTCATACAGAGAGAGTCCTTATCTGGAAGGAATGCGTGAACACATCCAAACAATTGATCAACAGCTGGCAGACCACAATGACAGCCTAAACAAGCTTGAACGGTTCAGCAGGCGAAACAACGTGAGGGTCATAGGTCTCCCACAAGATAAAGACGAAGAATGCCTGGAGTTGACCAAGCGACTTCTCCGAGACAAATTTGGCCTGAGTGATATCAAGATCGAGAGAGCTCATCGTGATGGTCCAAAGATTCCAGGAAAGCCTCAACATCTTCTCTTTAAGCTTAACTGCTACCAAGATAAACTGGAAATCCTACGTCGCCAGCGACAAGCTCTCTCTGACGAATCCTACTTTTGCGTGGAAGATCTGACCAAACAAGATCTTAAAGAAAAACGGCGATGGAAGGATGACGTCAGAAAGGCCTACCAGGAAGGTAAAAAATACCGGTTCTATGCTGGAAAGTGGCGTGGCAGTGGAGGAGTGCCGATCGTCTTCCCACAACAGTAACCTGCATGCTATTCTGCTCCCCTGCTACCTTGCTTGGGACAACCCATCACCAGCCATCCCTGCATCCACCCAATCATCCATCCTTTCATCCAGGGAGTCTGTCTCCATGATCACAATTAACTGCCATGTCGTAAAGCAATTTTTACTACGTTTTGGCTTTTTTTTTGCCTTTGCGTTTTGTTGCTCTGTTTGTAGCTGATTTGTTTCATTTTTGCTCATATCACTTGATTACGATCACATGGCTCTGCCGGATCATTCTTTTTCGTTGCTTATTACTGCATTTTCACATCAATTTACTGTTTGGACAGATTTCCCATGCTTATTTTTTGATTGGTGTAGTTGTGCTTTGTTTGCTTGCACTGTTTGCTTTTCATATATAATTAATGTTACATTTATATAAATTATTTACAAACTACTTGTGTTCTGCTGCTTTTTCATGTCTCTCACTCCTTGCTACATACATTGACGCATTTGTTCTTGTTACTCTAAATTTGCTCGAGATGTACGTCCTCCATTTCTTTTTTGGGCACACTTTCCATCGTTGCCCTGTATTATCACTATTATTGATATTATTTATTTTCTAATTATCAGTAATTTACTGTTTTTTGTTTTTGTTTGTCGTTTGTTGCATGTTTATCGATAATTCAGATATAGATGTTCATGATATTAATTCTCAGATCAACAGTACCTGTGCTTATTTCCACTCTGATGAGTTTTGTAATCTCAATGTTTTAAATCCGGGTTATTTTTCTGCCTTTTACATGAATGCCAGGAGTCTCAGTAAACATTTCTATGACATTCAAATTTTTCTCTCCACCCTGAATCATGCGTTTTCCGTGCTTGGCTTCACTGAAACATGGTTTAAAGACTCTCCTCCGCCGTATATTCACAAGGGTCGAGTTCGGGCGGTCTGTTCTTGACACGCGAACTTTGTTCTCGCGCTCGAACCACACGAACACGTCCCAAGAACATTGTACTCGGAACAAAATCGCACACCACCTATCCGCCGGGGGTTTGCACGAACACACGTAAAAAAGCGCGGGATTTCAAAACAGCGGCAGAAACTTCTCTAGCAAAATGGCCGACGGACATGACGGATTCAGCGTTGCTGAGAAGGGGTAGGATATTTTAATTGCTTTTAATTCTTTTTTCCCTCGGGTAGGTAGTCAGTTCTGAAGACAAATTTGTTTGCAAGGCAGAATTTTGAAGCAAATTTCACCGCGGAAACATTTTGGTGGTTGATATTAGCTGTAAAGCGACTGTAAGCATGGTATTGTGTAAGGAAAGGGGTGAACCGTAAACTAGTAAAATATTCTTTCCAACTCTGTGAAATGTCATGAATGTGTAATGTTACGTTAATATAGCTCCATGGTTTAATAATGCAGATAAAATTAGGCCTAAGTCAGTAAGAAAAACTAAGTCAGTAAGCACTAACTTAACTGTGTCTGTGATCATGGTCAGATGGTGTGATTATTTTGCATACACAATTAATGTCCCTACCTAGCAGCTGCCTGGTATAGGCTACTAACATGACTAATACTAAGTCTTAGTACTCCTTAGTCTAAGGAGTAATGTTACACGTATTTATATAATTTACCTAGCTGCCTAGTTGCGATAATCGTAACCCACCATCCTCCCGACGCGACGGTCGAAGACCGGAGGGTTAAGAGAGTCGAGACAACTAGGGCTTAGTGTACAAAATTTACATAGGCCTAGTTGCAATTTTGACCATTTTTGCCAGACTAGTCACCAGATTTGCCCAATTTTTACCACTTTTCTCAAAATATTTCTCAATGATGTTTTGAGTGTTATGAACGGAGTCATTACACATTGAAGATCGAATCTGTGTTCTTAAAATGTGTGTCATGATCTTTGAAAGTGGTAAAAATTGGGCACATCTGGTGACTAGTCTGGCAAAAATGGTCGAAATTGCTATTATGTAAATTGTGTACACTAGTTGTCTCGTAACCTCGGTCTTCGACTGTCGGGAGGATGGTAGGTTACGATTATCGCAACTACTAGCTGCCTAGCACTTTTAGCAGCCTAGGGTGAGCTCAATATGCTCAATAACTGTTGAAACTTTTTTTACCCTTATTGGAAATAGGTACACAACAAAGCAAGTTCCTGTCATAATCCGCTATGTTCCTGCTGGTATTGCAGAGCGTTTGAAATCTGGTAAGCATTTTGTTTGGGCTCGTAAATCCCCTTATATATGTGGGGCCTATTTTAAGTTGGTGGCTATCCCAAAAACTATGTCCGAGACTATTGTTTCATACCTGTTGGTAGGTAGGGCTTTATACATTAAAGACCTAACATTTTGTAACAACAAATGTTTAAATTTTAATTCCATCTTGTGAATTATTATGAGTTCACAATGACAATGAACGTATGAATCAGACAAAGATTTCTCATGGAAACATTTCTAAGTCCCCCAAAGCACTCACTGCACATAATTGGTTACCGTGCCAGTACAAATGCAAAAGTATAACATTACCAGTTAACGGTCAAATCTACACTGCCTAGTTTTTATTTTGTTTTTTATCTTTAACTTGGTGACTTTAAATGGGAAAGTGCTGCAAGGTTTCATTATCAGTACATACAAGTTTACCCTTTCCCAATTATTTCCATCTCAATTTCATACAAAGAAATTATCTTAATTTGCTACACAGGTGCTGTGCATTACATGTATTTAGACCATTATTTTTATATTGAATCTTCTCATAGATGAAAGTTTTGCACAAACAATTTGTGCAACGGTACAGCGGCCTGGCAGGACTAGCCAACCGAAAACACGAGAGACACCTCCCCTAATCAACAGAACTGGACAGCCACGGTTACATGAAGCAGGGATGCCCCATCCAACCCAGTCCAGCCTAACACCAGGACAAGAGATAGAGGCAGGGCCCTCTTCAGTTGGACATGGTAAAATTTGAACTAATAACATGTAATTAGCATGTAATGTAGTATTATGTAACTTCCCAGACGGGGGTCTTGAGCACAGAAAAACATGGAAATTAAACAAATTCAGGTCAAATTTACTTGCTCTTCAGCTGACAGAGTTATGCAAAATTGTAATGAGACAGGGTCCTCATTATTTCATCAGCTGAGTTTTTGGTCTTAATATGTGTACTTTTCTTTAGTGTTGTTGTACCTGAGATCAAACCCAAGTCACAAACTATGAAGAGTAGGGCTGTTCAATTTCGAAAATTTAGTATTTGATTATTTGAAACTAGTATATTTAAATTGGTTAGACAATTATTGTTATATTGAATCTTCTCATAGATGAAAGTTTTGCACAAACATTTTGTGCAACGGTACAGCGGCCTGGCAGGACTAGCCAACCGAAAACACGAGAGACACCTCCCCTAACCAACAGAACTGGACAGCCACGGTTACATGAAGCAGGGATGCCCCATCCAACCCAGTCCAGCCTAACACCAGGACAAGAGACAGAGGCAGGGCCCTCTTCAGTTGGACATGGTAAAATTTGAACTAATAACATGTTATTAGCATGAAATGTAGTATTATGTAACTTCCCAGACGGGGGGTCTTGAGCACAGAAAAACATGGAAATTAAACAAATTCAGGTCAAATTTACTTGCTCTTCAGCTGACAGAATTATGCAAAATTGTAATGAGACAGGGTCCTCATTATTTCATCAGCTGAGTTTTTGGTCTTAGTATGTAGTATGTGTACTTTTCTTTAGTGTTGTTGTACCTGAGATCAAAGCCAAGTCACAAACTATGAAGAGTACACGAGTCGCGCGGTGCGTACGCGCTGCGGCAATCTTTCATTTCCCAGAGTCACCAACAGAGGGCGGGCTTTCCGCCGGGTGCTGAGCAAATGATGCAAACATGAATATGCATGAGGCATTTTATGAATGAATAACTGACTTCAGCTGCCGTCAGCACATCCGGGACCTTTGTTCTGGAAAACTATAATCCTCTGGCGATTTTGTCAACGAAAAACCAAGACGATCGGTCATCATAATCACTTTCAAAGGCTATTTTCATTTTGTCAACAGTAGTGACGTCACTACACATCAAAAACGAAACCTTTTGGATAATAGGTTGTAAAATCCTTCATAATACATTGCAAACGGGCTTGGATGTGACTTTTGACCTCGTATCCCTCCGCTTTTCACCCCTTTCATAATGATGTTGACCTGCCTTATACAAGATATAGTCCGTCAAAAAGTTGGTTCAGCATCTTTTGTTTTAAGCTCATCATTTCATACACTTAATTAAAAGCGTATTTTAACTGATCCCCCAATGATTTTTCCTCTTAAAATGTAATTAGAAGCAAAAACGATCATTTTTCAAAGTAGTTCTGAGTGTGGTAAGTGATATTACTCCGCCAAACATCAACAAAACAAGGAAACCCTCGTCGCTATGCGTTTTGCATGCAGTGTGTCTCAAATATTGTCGTGCCCTGGAAGTGATGCGACCACGGAAAATTCCTCTTTTTCGGTAACTTGGCTCATAATACATGTCAAATATCATCTGATATGGTAGTTTATATCTTATCCATTAATATTAATAGTCGTTTGATCACATTACTGCCTGCCCTTACTTTGAAATTTAGTGAATTTCATGGCGATCGATTGCAGAATCTGAACGATTTTGTTGTTGTTTTTTAAAAATGGCGGACCTCGCGTGCGTAATAATATTCACGAAATAGATGCAGTACTATCGCGCGCGGATTGATTTTGTATTTGAATTTTCTAAAGTCGGATATCTTGAAGAAATACCTTTATTTGGAAAGATTCCCATACCTGCCCATCACTAATGTTTCCCTTCAGTGACATTAACAGCCATCAGAAAGAGCAAATGATAATTTTTTTATTAATAATTATAAAAAGTCAAATTTAGCAGGGAAAATATTGTAGTTTTTACCAAGAACACCCGAGTCTCGTGCGGTTTGTGCACAGGATCGACGACAAGTGATGGTCAGATATGGGAATCTTTTCCTTTTTTCTATTTTGTTATTTGAATTCAAACGCAAAGGAGTGAACTCAGTTTCATCAGTTTATGGGAAGATAGAGTGGGGCATAGCCATGATACTTGATATGATAGCTAAGGAAATTAAAAAGGGTAAATGAGATGGTCTTCTTGTCATGAATGTTCAGAATTCAGCTACAATCACTTGACAAGATTTGGCCTCAAGATTCAAATGGATTGTCAGTTTCCATTCCAAATGATGAGTCTTACTGACATGACTGAGTTTCTTCCAGTTCCAAATGTGAAGGCTAGCCTAGGCAGTGGAATGGTACGGGAGTCATTGAAGTGAATTTCATGGTGATTGATTGCTCAGTCTGAGGGATTTTGTTGTTTTTAAAAAATGGCGGACCTCGCGAAATGTTATATTCACGAAATAGATGCAGTACTATCTCGCTCTGATTTCGCGCTGAAATCAGTTTCCATTCCAAATGAGTCTCACCGAGTTTCTTCCAAATTTTAAAGTTAGACAGTGGAATGGGCAGAAGTCATTGAAATGAGCCTACACGTACATGGCATATAATGACACAAACAGCCGACGGTGACAAAACTCATCGAATGACATGAATTTCTTCTGTTTCTTTTTTTGGCGGGGGGGGGGGGGGCCTTTGTGTAAGTTACAACATGTCTAAGGCTGTATGGTGGCATTTGTTTATTAAACCTAATTTTTCCAACTTTTTTTATACAAATAAATCATAAACAATTCATTATCTTGGCCTAAAAATTAAATTCAGATCTGCAGTGCGATATGGCCCAGTCGTGTGCAAACTGCAATTATGAAAATAGATCAGCAGCACTTTCGACAGGAATTCGAACCGCCCTTTATCTTGCCAAGTCACACTATCATCATTATTTAATTTTTAATGGCCATTTAGCTTCCCCGGTGCAGTGACAAAATTTCCTTGTACATGTACATGTATTTCATCTGTGTAACCCGAGTTCGAATCCCGCCTGGGCCAAAATGTAGATGAATGTTCAGTCCCTGCCTGATTCCGTAGGTTTTCCCCAGAATTTTCTTCTGGGGTTTCCTCCCACCCTCTCATTTTTTCCTCACTACAGATTTCTTGGCTTATGAGCTACAGTGCATTTTTCGGGAATCCTTGGCAGACTAATCCTTACATGTGTGAATCAAGATTCCAGCTCGAGACATTCGAGTCTCATTTTTCGTGACTGGGACTCGGACTCGACCCTGCGGACTCAGACTTAGACTGTGCGACTCGAGACTCAGACTCATGAGATGTGACTCGGACTTGATGTTTGGTGACTCGACTACAAGTCTAATCCTTGGTTTAATTACCAGAAATAATCGACAATAAGTTCAATGTTCACTGTTACATGGAAAGACATGTAACATATTTTACAAATGGAATAGAGTAATATGTATAATGGCATAACAACAAAGTGAAATGTTGAACTCAACTGCAATGTCTAACAACTTATTAAGGTAGTGGTAAAACCATGTCTCGCACATCCGGCGCAAGCAGGCTACCTGAAGAAGTTGGGAGACAAAGCAAGGGATTATCACGCCCATCCACTATGACCTCAGTCCTAGTTGGTGACCCTGATTTGTTAACAGTAAAATATTTTTTATTTTTTTCGGATTTTTAATTTTTTTTTGGTTTTTTTTTTTTAATAGTTTTTTGGGCATTAGATCCATAATACACCAAGATGAGAGTGTGTTGTGGTAACTGGATACCCCTAGACTTACCACAAACTCCTCCCATTTTGCTGATATGGAGCAAAATGCAATTTTAGAGAGCAAAACAACATATTAAAAAATGGTGTAAGTACATTTACTTTCATGTGACAGAGATGACCCTAATAACACCGATCCAGAAGCGTCGCCTCATGGTTTTCTGAAACTGCAATTTATGTCCAACATGCATGCACAAAGGTCTGCAATGCATGCAAGCGAGCATGCGCATACAATGTACAGTGAGGCATTGAAGAGGAGCATGTGTAAATTGCTTACGCGCGCGCAGTGGGTGACGCTTACTGGATCAGTCCATTCCTAATATTTACAACTTGACGTGTGTAAGCTTTGGTGAGCTGTACTGGGCTTGCTGTCTGATTTGCAATTTCTGTCGCTTAGCAGGTTGGCGTACTGTGCAATACATGCGCTCGTATTTGTTCAATTGCGCGTGAATACTTTCTGTTGCCTGCTCAGACATCAAGCCAACACTACCTAAGAGCCGTGCTTGTCGAATGACCTCTACTGTCAATAAGTGAAACTTTCTTTTGATGTTTTCCTTTGGAAAGTGTACTGGAAACCAGCAACCGAACTCGGAACATCGCAAGGCTAGTAGTTCCACCTCATGCTTGCAGAGCATCCTGTTGAGTGTGTACAATTCGTAACACGATTTGAACTTCTGAAACAATTTGTGCACTTTATCAGAGAGTTCTGGAGAGCCAAATGATTGGCAGAAAGATTTCTGAAAATTTCTGAAAATTACCCTCCTTCAACATTTTATTTACATCTGGGCCAATTAGTGATCCCCCATGATATGACTGTTTTCTAATTCCAAGTTCTTCCTGTACCCTGTTGAATTTAGTCATGAATGGCCCAGTGACATTCTTAATATCTTGTTCAATTTTATCCCTCATTTTTTGGTTTTCATTCATCTCTTTATTCAAGCGTTGAACCGAATGATTGATTTCTTTGCATTCAGCATTGAGCTGGCGAACCAATGTTCTAGATTCTTTGGCTTCTGCACTGTTCTCATTGTACTGTCGACCATTTTTTATGAAGTGGTTGGGGTTATTTGTCTGAACCTGAGCAACCTGGTCCTGCTTAGCCACAAGTTCGACTTCACGTTCCCTCTTTGAATTGCATAAATCATCATGTTCCTTACTGAGGTCATTAACATGTGTGTACAGATCATCTATCCCACTGTATATCCCATGATTTTCCAGGACCTCATTGTCCAATTTCTCTACATTTTTCTGAACAATTTCAAAGAATTGCAAACCAAGCCCTAAGATGATGTGTAAGGGACTGACCGATACATGTTCCGTGACATAACCCTCCGTACCAACAAGCGGTCGTTGAATGCAGTTATCATAGTTCTTTGCCTGATCTTTTTTTGCACCTTTTTCTTGGAACTCTGTGGCTTTTGCATGGCAGGTTGTCAGTTTCCTTTTAGCAACTGCAGCAATGCCATGGTCTTCATCATCATCATCACCATCATCTCTGAAATCTTGAAGAATGTGCATGGCATGTGGTTTACCCTTTTTTAGATCTTGCAACGTGGCTAGGCAGTGTGGGCAAAAGTGATGACCATTTGGCCCTGTCAAACCAAGAATCTTGGCAATCCATTCCCAGTCCCCACCCCACGTCAGTTTGCATTTTGTGTAAATTTTGGGGGATTCTGAGATGGTAGGATATTTGGCTTCAGATGAAGATGAAGCGCTTTGGCAATACCTGCAGTTAGGACTGATGTACCTATTGTCTGGATTTAGTTCCTTGAGTGGAGTGAAATCCAGCTTGTCATCTGCTGATTGAACCATGTCATCGGTGTACATGTGTTCAGCGTTATCAATGTTTGGGCATGGAAGCTGTAGCTTTGCGATATCCCCAGTGACCTTCAGCAAATCATCAAATACTGGCTTAAATGCTGCCTGGATGTTGAGCCTGTCATCTTTTCCACCCTCAAAAATTCCCATGATTTTGACTGATCTTACCGAGTGCCGCTCTTTGGAATTTAGAGTCTGGATTACCATTTTGGTAGTTTTCCCCCCCTTATCACCGGACGCATGAAGCCACAGAGTATTGTCAAAGCTTTCAACAATGTGATTATATTGAACCTGTTCAGTAACCATGCTGGTGATAAGATGCTCAACATTTACAATCCTGGTGAAGTGAACAGGGTTCCCACTACTCCCATTGAACTCGCCATACTCAAACTCGTAAGGTAGCTCTGCTGAAAAACGCATCGATTGCCGGGTTCCCATAAGTTTATGACCTGTTTCAATCTCAAGTCTGTTTTTGATCAATGTCCACATTGTCTCTGGCATTAGGCTGCGCAACCCATCAACTGTATCCCTTGAAAATTTTGTGCATACTTTTAGGCCTGCTGCTTTAGATGCTGCTGCATACCGATCTTTTTTGCCGCTTGATATTTGCTGATCGCTGAGCCGAAATATCATCAGAGACAGTAGGGACTTGACTCGGAGGAGGTGATCCTGTAGCTGAAGAAGTTTGTTCTGAACTTGATGAGGAACTAGGCCCACAATTTACAGCAGCAAATGTGCCACCTGAAACCAGCGTCTCTACTTTTTCAATGATCTGGCTCCTCTTTCTGAGTGATCTATTACTACAAGTACCTACTTCAGCTACAGGAACCCGCACAAAACATTTTGCACGCCCTGGTGTGCCCTCAACTTTGAGTATATCCTGACTCTTTGAATTTTTGATGATGTAATGAAGGGCAGCACTTTTAAGCTGTTGTACCCCAGTGGATCTATCCACCCCAAATTCTGTAATGACATTTTCCTCAAATTTCTTAAGCCGGTTGTTTTCTGCTTCAAGTATCCCAATTTGTTCCTTCAAATTAGCAATCTTCTCTGAACATGCTGAACTAGTGCAAGGCGCATCAATTTCTCCCCCGGCATGCCCAGCCCCCTCTTCCTGTTCTTTCGTATTGCTACAACGTTTTCCCCCGATCTGACGCTTGACTGAGTTAATCTTGCTATCTACACGATGCTTGTAAGTTAGTGAATTGTTTTGCCGAAATGATTGAACACAACACATGCACGAACTACACAGAAAACCCTCCCTCTCTTCTTGAAGCAAAAAACAACTCTGCAAGTCATCTTTATAAATTGTAGTCGCATGAAATCTACTACTTACACTAGACTTACAAACACAACACTTCTCTCTCTTTGAAGGCATTTTAAAATATCCTTTAGATAATGTCGAAACGGTTTATGAAAATCTCGGAAGTTTGTCACCGCAGCGAAGTCAACAAAATGGCACGCATATAACGGGTTTTTAAAGACGGTCACAATCCTAGAATCTTGACAGTGCATTGCTAACGTGAGCTACGCGGCGAGGACAGCACCATACTATTGCAGGAACTCGCATGGACAACGTTGAACAAAAGAGGGCGCAAATTGGATGATGCCGCGATGGCAGCTAGTGAGTAGGGCTGTTCACTTTCGAATAGTTTAGTATTTGATTATTCAAAACTGCGTTAGACTGAATATTCGAATATTCAAAATTCGCCAATTATTTTTACACGAGCCAGTTAAAACTCCATACTGCGTCAGTTAAAATTTGAAGGCATAGCGTGTAGGTGGGTTTTGCGTGTGGTAATCGCTATTATGGAGCACTGGTTGCGACATTATTTTGCGTGCGCCTTTTGTTGCATAAAGATTATCACTAATACTTCACTGTTGACATTACATCACCGCGCGGTGTGTGTGTATGGCGTATATGTTCTACATGAATATGTCAACAGGCAAATCCTGAATCACAGTTGTAAAATACATGTACTACATGTATACTCATGCCTGATTTTTTCCTTTGTTCCAGATGAAAGAAAAACCTGGAGTGACAGAGATAGTACCCTGCTTGTGAGCTTGAGAGTCAAGATGGAAGATTCATTCCACGGAACCAAAGCTCATAAAGTGTTATGGAATAAAATTGCCAAAGAAATGCAAAGTAAGGGTTGTTTGGTCACAACAGACCACTGCCAAAACAAATGGAAATCAATTAAACGAGAGTATAAACAAACAGTGGATCATAATTCCCAAACAGGGGCCAATAGGAAGATCTGTAAATTTTACACTGAATTAGATGAATTATATGGCAACAACGAGAGTACCAGACCATCCATGACACTTAGCAGTTGTAGTGTGCCATCTACTACAGGTAACCTCCTTGATGAAACGGAGGAACCTGCTGAAAAAGTGGCAAAGCTGCCCATAGGGCGAAAAAGTCGTAAGCCAACAAAATTGCCCAATGTAGTAGACTGGCTTAATGAGTTTCATAAGGAACAAAGAGAGAGAGACAAACGGCGAGAAGAAATGGTAAGAGAACACAATCAACAGAAACTTGACAGATTTGACAGACTTCTCGATATACTAAATCCAAAAAAGAGGATTGAACATTTTCGATTGATCAGGCTAAAAGTTCTGTGTTGTTGGTGTTCCTTTTTAGCTAAATACTCTGCAAATATAAATATAAAAATAATTAAACTTCATATAATAAATATGGCAGAGCTTGTATAGTTTCATCTGAATATATGTTCCCTTTCCATCTTTGAAAATTATAACACAATATACAATTCTATCAGTACATTTGTACTTTTGCTCTTGGTCAAATGAAGTGTGTATTGTTATAAAGTAGGTTTATTGCTGTAGTCTCACAAGAAGTTGTGTTTCCTGTTAATGTAGGTGGTAAAGTTTTTCTCCTAGTTTTTCCTCAGCTAAAGAAAACCTATAACTGCATTTTTTGATAGGTTCTGAGTTATTACTTTGGGGCAAGTAATACTGTGAATCAATCATTTGGACACAGACAAATGTTATCTGTTCATTTTTATGCCCCGCGGCGAAGCCGAAGGGGCATACTGTTTCCGCCTTGTCCTTCCGTGGGTGGGTGGGTGGGTGTGTGTGTGGGTGGGTGGGTGGGTGGGTGGGTGGGTGTGTCCGGACAAATCTTGTCAGCGCGATAACTTGAGAAATACTTAACATATGAACTTCAAATTTGGTTTGTGGATTGTCCTTGGTAATCCTAAGAAGCCTTTTGCATTTGGGGCCGAAAGGTCAAGGGTCAAGGTCTCAGTGGCTGAAACAATAGAAATTTTGTCAGCGCGATAACTTGAGAAATACTTAACATTATGAACTTCAAATTTGGTTTGTGGATTGTCCATGGTAATCCTGAGAAGCCTTTTGCATTTGGGGCCGAAAGGTCAAGGGTCAAGGTCACAGTGGCTGAAACAATAGAAATTTTGTCAGCGCGATAACTTGAGAAATACTTTACATATGAACTTCAAATTTGGTTTGTGGATTGTCCTTGGCAATTCTAAGAAGCCTTTTGCATTTGGGGCCAAAAGGTCAAGGGTCAAGGTCACAGTGACTAAAACAAAAGAAATTTTGTCAGCGCAATAACTTGAAAAATACTTTACATATGAACTTCAAATTTGGTTTGTGTATTGTTCTTGGTAATCCTAAGAAGCCTATTGCATTTGGGGCCGAAAGGTCAAGGGTCAAGGTCACAGTGGCTGAAACAATAGAAATTTTGTCAGCGCGATAACTTGAGATATACTTTACATATGAACTTCAAATTTGGTTTGTGGATTTTCCTTGGCAATCCCAAGGAGCCTATCGCATTGGGGGGTCGAAAGGTCAAGGGTCAAGGTCACAGTGGCTAAAACAATAGAAATCTTGTATTTATTCTGAGATCATAGGGATTAGGGATTAATTTATATAAAACCTACAGAAGACACTAATGCTGTCAATGAACGTTCCATTTGACCAAGGTACATGTAAGTTGATGTTAGAGTGGTGTTATGTCATGGAAACAGTCACGGTTGCGGGGCATTTGTGTTTGTAAACACACCTGACTTGTTTTGTTCTGGTTCTTTAATATGCTTGTATACTTACAAATAGGTCATTTGGCTTTGAGCCTTAAACAAGTTCATAAAATTTGGGTAACAATAAATAACAATAAACAGGCCTAATAATAAAAATATATTATAAAAAAATGCATTCCATGTCACACAGACATCACAAAGCGCTGTACAATTAAAATTCCATAAGTTATTAAGAAATACAGATAAAAGCAGTCAAAACAAAAGACAAGTAATTAAACAATCAATAAAAAATAACAAATACTTTTAGCTGCCCTACCAAGATCACATGATAAATTAATTTGTATTAATTGTATCAGCCAAAAGTTTCCATACATTGATTTCCTACAGTAATAGTGAAAAAAATGCCCACTAATTTTTATGCTGTTGAAAAAAATTGTTTATTACAAACTGAAGTTGTACTAACCGTTTTTGGCCTTGTTGGAGTTGGTATTAATTTTCAAAAAAAAAATTAATGTACGTTTATTACAAACTGAAGTTGAATTAACTGTTTTTGGCCTTGTTAGAGTTGGTATTAACCTTCAAAATAAAACAAGAATTTGGTAAGAAATTTGCAAAATTTTCTCACATACCAGGTCTCTGTTATTTTAAGTTAGTCAACACGAGTATAATATCCAGATACAATTGACATTTTTAAGGTCACTATTTTGGATATAAAATATGACAAACGGCAACTTCCTGAAAATCAGAACAATGAAAACGTACATGTTACATATGAGTTTGCACGTAACTTCTGATTTGATGACGTTCTAGCATTTGCACACCAATGACTGGAAAGTCTAGTGTAGTGCAATTATTTGTGTAAAATAATACTTCTGCATGTTGTAAAATAATACATACTGAATGACGGCGTAAAAACAAGGGAAACGCATCATTTTCCAAATTTACACTTTTTCTCAAGCGTTCAAGCTCCACTTTGGTAAATGTATGGGAAATTCACCTCCATTTTAAATGTTTTTTTCATATATCGTTGCACTTCAGTAATCATTGACATAAAGGTTATCTGATGTGTCTGTGAATCAACTATGTTGCCTAAAATTAGGCTTAACAGATCGGAAAATATGAAGTGATGTCTCATTCAGTTTGATAGTTATAGCTAAAATTGTTTCTTTTAATTTTGACAATGTAATTTGACATTTGATAATGTCACAGTGATGTCACAAAAATATGCACACCAAACTTTGGGTTTCTACCAGATTTAAAGTTTACACCATGACCGGTTTAAAGACATTTACTTATTTGAATACAAACTTTTCAGTAGTTTAAATTCATTTAACTTTGAGTTTAACCATGGAAGTATATGTAAGGGTCAGACAACAATATTTAGCCCCCACTCAAGATCTGTCAGATCCGATATAAGGAGTATCATACCATGTTCCCTCAAATACAGTTATAAGAAATTGGTCATTGTTTGAGTTAAACTTTTTTGTAACTTGATGACTGATGGTGTCATCATGACATCACACTTGCATGCACAAGTTACTGGGTATAAAGGTTGATGATAATGCCAGTTTTCAAGTTGATATATTTTACCCTCTTGAAAAGACTTACAGATTTGTGTGTGGAAAAAACACTAAAAAGAAGAAACCAATACAGTTGAAGACTGATAAGAAGAGTGTTATATCCAGGGTGTGTAAATGGGTTATAAATCCAGTACTGAGAGAGAGCAATTCAGATTCGAGGTAACACTTTATTCGTACAATTCCAACATGGCGCAGCCCACACATTTCTACTCCAGAGGGCGCTATGCAAATAGACTGTGAACACAACATTCTCCCCTCTCAAAAATGAGGAAACTGTATGAGTAATTACAGGAGCAATTAGCTTACATTTTGAAACCATACTTAGATCATTTGCAAAGAATCAAAATACAAAATGAGGAATCAGAGACATTGGAATGTTTGGAATGTTCAACAGATCAAATTAGGAAAATCACAGTTCAATTACTTAAACACATACACTTGTGTGTTTTAACTAGCACATGGAATGAACAGAACTTCACAATTTACATATGGTAATCTTTAACCCAAGTAGGCTGTCTAACTTGTCTCTTAGGACGGTTCTGTGGTTTGGGTGTAGCTGGTTGTCTTGGAGTCGTAGGCATTTGGTTTGGCAGTTTATGAGTCATGGTAAGGTGTGTTGCATTCCATGTTCGGCCATCTTCAAGCTGGTAAGTGGATGGACCCTTGGACTGTGTGATGCGTTGAGGAGGTCCATAGCGATTTGAACCCTTATGCACATGTCTAGGATTCTTAACACGTACATAGTCTCCTGTTTGGAAACGCGGATGTACTGCACCACGCTTCTGGTCTGTGTATCGCTTGTACTTTGTCTGAGTACTGCGAACGCGATCACGAATATCAGCTGGTTCTTCTTGGCTGATCTCTGTAGGGAGAATGTTCAGGGTAGTTGTCATTCGGCGACTGTGCAAGAGTTCTGCTGGCGATTTACCTGTAGTTGCATGAGCGGTGGATCTGTATGCTGTCAGTAACTCAAGTGTTGCAGTTTTCCAAGGTCGGTGTTCGCGAGTTGCGATTTGGAGAGTTTGTTTGAGAACGCGATTAAATCGCTCGACGAGTCCGTTTGCCTGCGGATGGTAAAGTGAAGTGCGGATGTGCTTAATTCCTCGCTGGATCAAATATGACTCGAACTCTGTGGAGACGAACTGGCTCCCATTGTCAGAAACCAACTCGTTAGGCAACCCTTCCCTCGCAAAAATAGAATCAAGCATGGAGCAGACGGAATGTGAAGTGGCATCAGCGGCAAACGCGACTTCCGGCCACTTACTGTAGTAGTCCATCAAGACGATTGCAAATCGGCAGTTTTGTGGACCATGCTCAAAGGGACCACAAATGTCAATGGCAATCTTTTGCCATGGATGAGCTGGAAGAGGTACTGGTTGCAATGGTGGAGTGCGAATGTATGCTGTCTTGTCACTGACTTGACAAGCTGCGCAGTGACGAACTTGGTGTTCTATCTGTTTGTCCATACCTGGCCACCAATAGCAGTCACGAAGTCGTTGCTTGGTGCGTACAATTCCCTGATGTCCTTGGTGCGCAATGGTAATCAGGCTAGATTGGAGAGCAGTAGGTATGACAAAACGGTCACCTCGCAGAAGACAGTCATCAGCAACTGAAAGTTCATCCTGGAGGTGGAAGTAGGGTTGTAGTTCAGTTGTAATGTGCTGTTTAGCAGGCCAACCGGATGTGATGTATTCCGACACGGACTTAAGGATTGTATCTGTCCTTGTAGCACTTTGGAGGTCAGCTTTGGTGATAGCGGAAGCATCAACAAGTAGTGCTGAAATCCACTGGACGATGATTTCATCATCAGTATGTTCGGTTGCGTGCACTGTAGTAGGCAGTGGCAGTCTAGATAGAGCGTCAGCCACTCTATTGTGCGCACCAGCACGAAATTCGACAGTGTAGTTGAAATTCAGCAGACGAGCAGCCCACCTGGCGATCCGCATTGGTTTGTGGCCAGTGCCACGTGTGGACAGCAATGTAGTTAGAGCTTGATGATCAGTTCGAAGAGTAAACTGACGGCCCCATAAGTACTTGTACCATTTCTCACATGCCCACACGCATGCAAGTGCTTCCCGTTCGCTGACTGAATATTTGCGTTCCGTAGTTGTAAGAGAGCGAGAAGCGAACGCGATAGGAACTTCGTGATTGTTCTTAATCTGTGCGAGTACCGCACCGATGCCGTAAGCTGAAGCATCAGTAGATACGATGGTATGAAGATCGGGGTCAAACAGCGCAAGTGTAGTAGCATTGGAAATGTGCTGTTTGAGTAACTCGAAGCACGATTGAGCAGCCTCAGACCAAATGAACTGAGTGTCCTTGCGAAGGAGTGCGCGGAGTGGTTCAACCATGGTTGCGTAATTTGGCACAAATCTGGCGTAGTATGACGCATGTCCCATGAAGGATCGGAGTGTAGATGGATCGGTAGGTTTTGGAGCATTTAGTAGAGCCTCTACGTGTGTTGGATCTGGAGTAAGGCCTTCGGACGAAACGGTATGGCACAGGAAGCGGAGGTTTGACAAATTGAAGTGGCATTTGTCATAGTTCAGCGTGACACCTAGTTCTGTAAGGCGGTTCAGCACTGCGGAGAGATTGGCATCATGGTCCTTTTGATCGCGACCGAAGATGACAATGTCGTCTAGGTAACATTGTACTCCAGCAAGACCACTTAGAGCACACGACATGAATTTTTGGAAAGCCGACGGTGCAGATGCCAATCCAAAACAGACGCGCTTGAAGCGGAACAAACCAACATGTGTAATGAAGGCTGTGAGATCACGCGAATCTTCATGTAGTAGTAGTTGATGGTACGCGGAATTCATGTCAAGGGAGCTGAAAACACTGGCTCCATGGAGTTCCCCTAGTAGTTCTTGAATGTTTGGAAGTGGATACTTATCAACAATGACTGCTTTGTTGACTTCGCGGAGATCCACACAAAGTCTCACCTTTCCGGATTTCTTGTATGCGACCACCAGTGGTGACACCCATTCACTGGCGTCGATACGCTCAATGATGTCTGCGTCTTCGAGACGTTTCAGTTCATTTGCCACTTCGTCGCGTACCGAGAATGGCAACTTTCGGAGTTTTTGCTGCATTGGAGGGACGGATGGGCGTACTTTGACTTTGTGTACGTAGTTTTTTGCAAGTCCAACTTTCCCATTGAAGAGCTCGGGGTATTGTTTGCGCATGTCCATTGAAGTTTGGTCGGATGGAGTAGTTGCAGTCGGAGCTGGAGGAGTTGACGATGGAGGTTTCGAGTCGTTCCCATTCACGAGCATGACCTTACCACCTGTGATTGTAATATCCAGGCGTCGGATCAAGTCTAGTCCCATGATAGCGATGCCAGACTGTACAACGAAAATGTGCGCAGGAACACAACGCTCAGGATTACTCGCAAGACGAACAGCGGTGTGGAATGTACCCAGTACTGTAATCGGTTCGTGCAGGTAAGTAGTGAGTTTAGCTGTTGAAGGTTGCAATGCCTCACGTGCGAAGAACTTTCCGAATGTGGATGCAGGAATTATTGACACGGCAGCGCCAGTATCAACAGTCATCGCGAGTTGCACGGATTGGCCAAGGAGTACGGAGCATTTGACACTATCAGCATGTGCAATGTGCTGAATGGTCAAGACGTTGGAGTCTTGATAGTCTGGATGAGGTGCAACGGGATTATCACTGGTGAACACTCCCTGAACCTGATTGCGTGTAGATTGAAATCTCTGTCCAGACCGGCAAACACGTGGGTAATGCCCCATTTTCCCACATTTAGAGCATGTAGCGTACTTGGCTTTGCAGTTTGGATCATTTGCTTTGTGCGATTGTTCACCACAGCGGTAGCAAATCTGTGACTGCAGCGGTGCTGGTCTCGATTGTTGCGGAGGGTGCTCTGTAGTGTTGCGATGCTTGCGTGGTTTGCGATTTTGCTGTCGGGGTTTTCGGTGTGTAACTGCATGTACATCTGCCTCTGGAGTATGGCTAGAATTCTCCCCGATGATCTTGGATTCACGCAATGCCGACTCGACTTGGCGCGAAATTGTAATTGCATCAGTAAGTGTCAAATCTGGTTCAAGCAGTAGGCGCTCTCGAATCTGAGTAGAGTATGTGCGCTCAATAAATTGATCCCTGATCAGCTCATCTGTCATGTTACCAAAGTTACACGATGATGCTAAGGCACGTAGCTCTCGGATGTAATCATCAACGGATTCCCCTGGCAACTGTGAACGTCTGCGAAATCTGTATCTTTCAGCAACCACGTTCAGTTTGGGTTTGAAATGTCTGTCAAGCACCCGGAGAGCAGAATCAAATTCATCTTCATTTTCCCCTGCATTCTCTTGTGGAAGCGTATGGAAAACACGCTGACCTTCAGTGCCAAGGCAGTGCAGTAACAACGCACGTTTACGTACGGCAGGATACGTATTTGCAGCTGATGCAACAGTGTAAGTTTCAAACATACCTCGCCACTGAGTCCACGGAACGGGCGGAGTTCCCGGAGTTACGAGGAAGAATGGAGGCGGTGGAATCGATGCCATGGCTTGTAAGAAATCTCAGTATGATCTATCCTCCCTCGTCGCCAATTAATGTTATATCCAGGGTGTGTAAATGGGTTATAAATCCAGTACTGAGAGAGAGCAATTCAGATTCGAGGTAACACTTTATTCGTACAATTCCAACATGGCGCAGCCCACATATTTCTACTCCAGAGGGCGCTATGCAAATAGACTGTGAACACAACAAAGAGCACTGTTAATACAACGTCATGCTTATAACAAGGAAAATTTTAGGTCCCAAGTCTGTGGTTTTTCTTTGTTTTCAATACTGTTAATACAAGATATCTGTTATAACAAGGAATTTTGTAAAGTCTGAAGGACCCCGTTATATCAGTGTTTCACTGTATATTGGAAAATTTGGGGAGCTTTATTATCCATTTCCAAACTTTACACTGCTGATGAATCTGAGTCTGTCCCGTAGAGCTATATTAGATTACTAGAGCGCTAACTCGATGTACAAAGTGATGCCTGCTGAGCGCATCCATGTTTGTACACAAACCTATGGGAAAACTCGAAATTTTGTACAGCTTTTGTATGGCTATGTGCATATCTGCGTTTTTATTCTATACTGGTGCGTTATCAAAGCCCAAAACAGAAACACAAAATCACTAAGTGAGCGTTTCATTTTGTTCTGCGCAAACAACGCGAACACGTGCACGGATCTGCTCCAGATAATTATGCCGTGACTATCATGACGCGCCGCGCGTATGTTGTACTTGCGCGTTGCATTTAGAGTACACTTTCAAAATTCACTCCATTTAATTTCATTGTTCTACAAACACGCACATTAATTCAAAATGTCTGTGCCCAGACAACTTCAAAATATCTCCGCGCGTAAGGATGAGGAGGTCGCGCTCTAGTAATTTAATATAGCTCTATGGTCTGTCCACACTAAATGATACAACTGCACAACATAAAAAATAGCTCTCATTTAAACTTTGTTAACAGTCAAGAAATAAGCTTCAATGATTCTAGTAGTAGTCGTACAATAGTAGAGATATAGTGTACATAATAAAGGATTTGGTTGTTAGTTGTTGAAATAATGAGAAATTTGATACAAATGTCCAGTTTATTTTTCGGGGGTCGTTTTTCAAGTTATGTAAAATAGGCATTATCATGCGGGAAAAAAAACAATTCATGGGTACTGAAAATGTTACAGATGAGAAATAAGTTGAAATATAAAGCTCCTCATTTTAGTCTGGAAAAAAATGAATGTGGGTGTACATGTACAGTGTCCTAACTATTCTCTTTGTTAAAAATGTCTCCATCAATTAGCAAAACAATTAATTTGAAATTTTTTTGTCTGTCCTGGTAACAAACGTTATTTTCAAGGCATCCAAATACTTCCTTAAGAAAGAGGATTGTTTAATACTTCCTTAAGAAAGAGGATTGTTTCTTTGAAAGTTCTCTAAATGGGCAATTCCACGGTAACGGAATTACAATTCAGAGAAATTTTGGCTCTAATTTAATGGATTTTGTTATCTATAGTGTCAACTAGGCCCTATGCTTTGAGATAACTGATTCAGACTGTACTTCTTACATAATTCGTACTTCACAAATTTTCCGAAAAATGTCGTTTCTCATACGGAATTGCCCAACTACCTGTACTAACAGTGTGGGCACTTAATTATACTGGAACAAATATTATCGGACTTGGTTCATACTGCTTTGAATAATGGTGAGTCGAAAAAAAGTGTTTGTCCATGTGACAAACATTATGCCTTCACAATTAACCTTCCATAGCTCCTTTAATATTGCTTAAATTTTCTTAACCTTTTTGGTGTAAGAAGCATAAAAATAAAAAGGGCAAAATATTGCAGTTGGAAATTCAAACTCAGTGTCACAAAAATGTATCATTTAGTGTGGACAAAGACAGATCATAGAGCTTTATTAAATTACTAGAGCGCGAACTCCTCATTCTTATGCACATAGCCATACAAAAGCTGTACAAAATTTCGAGTTTTCCCATAGGTTTGTGTACAAACATGGATGCGCTCAGCAGGCATCACTTTGTACATCGAGTTAGCGCTCTAGTAATCTAATATAGCTCTATGGGACAGACCCATCTAAGGAGAAAACTCCAAACTCACTAACACTGGGCAACCAAAGCATTCCTCCTGACATGTCCACCTGTTGCATCTGCAAAGATATTCTCAAGTTCCATGTCATCTTGGTCGTCGAAGTTGATGAAACTGCTCACATCGTCATCAGGCAGCACGCACAAGTTGTGCATTACACATGTAGCCATTATAAATTGGCATATCTGACTTATGTCATGGAACATGAGCTCCCGCAATCTTCGGAACCTGCCTTTTAGGTGGCCAATGGCTCTTTCCACAACTTGGCGTTTGCCAGACAACATCCTGTTAAATCTGCGTTGCTGCTGCGACAGGTGTCCGTTGTCTTTGAAGGGTGTTACCAGCCAGCTTCTGAGCGGGTAGGCAGTATCACCTATGAGATACTGATGCTCTGCCAATTTATGTCCATCTTCAACGTCATGGTACAGTGGAGAGTTGCGGAAAACCCGTGCATCGTGCACTGATCCCGGCCATCCTACATATGCATCCGTTATTAGCATCATGTCATCAACTACAAGCTGCAGACAAATAGAGAAAATATCATAACACAAAGGGTTATATAATATAGCATATCATTTTCAATTTTACGGGGGAATTTTCTGAATACAGCTTTCTGAACCCATGACTGAGCACAATAAGCACAATAAGCACAATCAGCACAGATATCAAGCAACAAGCACAGATGCGTTGGGTAATTATTGATTCAAAATGACAGAGCTACCAGTTGGATCTCCTTTAAGACACCAGAAATGCACAATCTTCATTTGAAATCTTTTCTTTTCATTTGTTGCCTTTTTAATGTAGTTTGTGTCAGTATTTGCCTCAGTTGTTGATCGCATCGCGCAATTTAAGTTTGCGCGCGCAAACTTGAACAAAATTAATCACCGCGCACAATATTTAAAATTTGTGCGCGCAAGTTTAAAAACTACGTGTCTTTCAAAATTGCGCTCAACATCACGACTGTTTGTGGGCCCACTTATGATAATTTATGCTGCGTTAGGTCTAGTGTCATCGGAACTTATGAATTACGAACATAACCGCGTACAGTTGCAAGTCAGGTTCACGGACTTTACCTTCCCTTGAAAAAAAAAATCCTCCAAGCCGCTAAAACCCCAATGGGGATCGAACTCGCACCATCGGAATTGTAATCCCATGTAGTATCCTACAGCGGTGATTCGACAACAGTGGTAATTTTAAACTATGCATGTATAACGCCTTTCAGCAAAAATCATATGCGTGCGGGTATGCATAATTCATCATAAGCTCCAATGACGCTATATAACCCAGCATAAATTATCATGAGTGGGCCCACAAATGGTCGTGATCCTGGCACTACGTCATTTATCTTTTGGAAAAACAGTTGTATTTATTTTCTGCCAAAAGAGAGTATCAACATGTGCATTGTATTTCAAAATACAGAAACAGTAGTCAACTAATTAAAGCGATCAGAGCAGTATTAATTTAAACATGACTAACCTGAAGCTGGACGGATGGATAGGATTTTCGATTTATATAATCAGGTTGACCATTCAGAATGTTGACAATTCTGATGTGGGTCCCATCGATCACACCAACGATGCCACGAAGGCAGCTTTCCCCAGCAAACCCTTCAGCAATATGAGCTTGTCTTGTTTGGTCAGGCCATCTTATCACACTATGCCGTCTAGTGGATATAGTTGCTGCAACTTTGTGAATGCATGAGTGAACGGTTGACTTGGACAACCCAAACATATGGCTTACACCTCTCATGCTACTTTGGTTACAGGCATACCACAGGAAGGTCAGACATTGCTTGTCAGGCAGAAGTGGAGTATTTCCTCCGCAATAATCACGCAATAATCACGGTAAAGTTCAGGTCCCACTTCACCAAGCAATCTTTCAAATGTGACACGACGTATTCTAAAATGATATTTAAAGTCCCAGGAGGTGTACTGTGGCACGACTGTTTCAACGAATCCCTCAATTCTTGGTACTTTCTCTCTCTTCTGGTTTACGAATGCCAGGATATATGAAGGAAAATCGTTATCTCCATCAAGTGCTTCGTCATCATCAAATTCAAACATGAAATCATGTAGAACGATAGCTAATTCTGCCATTCTGACAGTGACTGACACCGCCTCAAACTCAAACACACCTCGCGGGACATGTTTATAAACAAACGGCAGCCATCTTTAAATACCATCATGAGAGATTTGTTGTTGCCACGATGGCGCTCTTCATTGTTCGGGTCGTTCGGGCGGGTAGTCCGGGAACAAAACTCCGCTGTTCACGAACAGCCGAGAACGCAGTCGCCCGAACTCGACCATGGATAACTACAATCTTGTTCATTCTTCAAGATCTAACAAAGTCGGCGGAGGAGCGGCCATGTTTGTCAGCAACACGCTGAATGTTCGTATTCGCGAAGACCTCATGTCATCTTCTGATGAGTACGAGTGTGTTTTTGTTGAAATTGAGCGTGAGCACGCCAGTAATTTGATCGTCGGTAATGTTTACAAATCCCCTGGCACCTCGTTTGATGTTTTTCACAGGTCTTTTGATTGCTGTCTCAATACTGTCACCAGAGAGAAGAAGCTGTGTTACATAATGAGTGATTTCAACTTGAATCTCCTCAACTGTGATCATCAGCCAACGGACGATTTAATTAACACCTTCTATTCCTATGGTTTCCGTCCATTGATAGACAAGCCGACACGCGTCACCCCTCACACTGCCACACTCATCGATAACATTCTGACTAACAATACTTGTGATATTTCTTCAGGCATATTTTATTCTGACCTCACTGATCACTTTCCTCTCTTTCAGATCACCCCCGTCTGCTTCCAAGATTCGTCATCTTTCCGAAAGACGTATATCGCCAGGGATATTAATAAAAACAATATCAGTGCGTTTACCTCAGATCTTGAAAGAACTGACTGGAGTGATGTGTATGATGCGAATGAAGTAGATCACGCTTATAATACATTTTTTTTCCATTTTTTCTAATCTGTATGATTTTCATTTTCCTTATCGTGTCAAAATAGAAGGTAAATCCCACAGGAATCAACCATGGATTACTCGGTCAATTATCAACTCCATCAATCACAAAAACCGACTCTACAAACGTTTTCTTCGGAACCCAACTGATGCCAACGCCCGCACGTACAAGGTCTACCATAACCGCTTGACGGCCGTCATCCGAAAAGCCAAGAAGAGTCACTACGCACATAGACTTGATGTAAATAAATCTAGTATTAAAAAGGTGTGGCGAGAGATCAATCACATTCTAGACAGTAAAAAACAGGTGGATCTTCCCGATAATCTGTCTGACGGCAATTGCAATTACACCAGTCCCCCTGACATATCGGAGTCATTCAATACTTATTTTTCTCACATTGGTGCATCTTTGGCAAGCAAAATCCCCCCCGCTGACTCTTCTTTCTTCAGTTATCTGCATGGCTCCCACGCCTCCTCATTTTTCCTGACACCAACAAACTTTTTAGAAGTTGTTGATATTGGCAATAAGCTCAGCAACAGCAATAGCTGTGGGTTTGATGGCATCAGTCCTTCCGTTATAAAATCTGTTATTTCATTTATCTCTCGTCCTTTGTCTTATATTTTCAATCTTTCCTTTTCTTCTGGCCAGTTCCCATCTAATCTTAAGATTGCCAAAGTTATACCCATCTTCAAATCTGGAGATCGTCATGATATTCACAACTACCGACCGATTTCTATCCTTCCTTGCACTCTAAAAAATAGTTGCTCAATATTGGGTAAAATTACTACCTTTTCGAGAGTAAAAAGGGAACATGGTCGTCAACTTGTGTACTTTTTTTTACACAACAGCTAAAGTGTAAAAAAGTACCCATTTCTGTGTAACTTTTACCCATAATTGTGTTACGTGTTTGCACAACAAAGTTGGGTAAGAAAGTTTACCCATGTGACGACCATGTTCCCTTTTTACTCAATTATTGGGTAAACTTTACCCAACCCTCCTTTTACCCAAGTGTTGTGTCAGTTTCTTACCCAGATATTGGGTTCTAATTTTTACCCTGCATTGTTGGGTTCTAAATTTACCCATCACTTGGGTTGTTTTTAAATTAGTCGTTGTGTACCTTTGTTATTGACCCTTGCAGTTTTATTCAACTTTGAACTCTGCAATGTGAATTGCATGCTAGAGACAGCAATCGCGAGGGATTTCAATAACTGAGTCCTGGGTTGGAAAGTCAGTAAAATGAATAAGATCATATTTCCCCAAATATGGTGCTGATGCATGAGGACTATTACGAGGAGCGTGGGTTAATGATGGGCAGGGGTGTAAGAATTTCCCTCAATCAACTCATTCAAAAACAATTCCCCAAACGTCGGTCACTTTACTCCGTGTTTCTAGATCTGAGAACACTCACTATACGGTACATGAAACGCATGCATCATGTGCATGGAAGCGTGGTTGGCAGAGCCGTGACGTCCAAGTTGCAAACAAATGTCTAAATAATAAGCATGTCACTTCCCCAATCTCCCCGATATTAATCATCATGCATCAGCATCCCATTTGGAGGAAACAACACTGAAATTCATTTCACTGACTTACCGGGAACAAAGAAATCGCGTCATCAAAATCCCCAAATTGTTGAAGGTCTCACAAGCGGCGGCCATCTTGTACATGAGTGATGACGCGTGCACAATATTGGGTAAACGTTGTCACGTGCGTCAGTTTACCCCGCACCGTGGTAACATTTAACTAATGTCTTGGTAAATTCTACTCTTGGACGTGTACAATGAAAGAATTGTTACACAGTGGTTGGGTAAATCCAGTTTCCTTAACCCATCACTTGGGTAATAATACAATGATTTTAACTTTTTGCCTGTGCTGCTGGGACTTGTAGTTAACGTTGGGTACTATTTTACCCTTTTCATGTGTAACAGATTTGACACAAGTAGGAGGTACAAGCGAAATTTTCATTGTGCTCAATATTGGGCAGAAATGACACAATTTTTTTACACAACAGTTTTACACAACATAAATTTACACTTCTTTTTTAGAGTGTGCTTTTCAAAAATACTTGAGAGACTTGTCGATAATCGCCTATCCAGACTCATTTCTCGTTTCCACCTCCTTTCCGATCATCAGTATGGTTTTCGCAGCAAGCATTCCACCGACATGGCTCTCATTCAGGTTGTTGACAAACTCACTTCTGCCTTAAATGATAAAATGAGCGCCATTGGAATCTTCATCGATCTCTCTAAAGCGTTTGATACGATTGATCATTCTATCCTTCTGTCTAAACTTGAGTTTTATGGAATTAGAGGTGTTGCCCATGAGTGGTTTTTCAGTTATCTCTCCAACAGACAACAGTTTACCTTTGTTCATAATTATTCTTCGTCTGAGCAAGGTATTCTTCATGGTGTTCCTCTAGGCTCTATTCTTGGTCCCCTTCTATTTCTTTTGTACATTAATGATCTGCCTAGTTCTTCCTCGTCTCTCTCTTTTACGCTTTTTGCTGATGACACCACCCTTCTGCACACCGGTCCCAATCTCCAGTCTCTTGTCAATTCTCTAAATGCGGAACTTAATCAAGTTTCTTCTTGGTTCAGGGCAAATAAGCTTTCCCTAAATCATGGCAAAACGAAGTACATGATTTTTTCTAAATCTGGCTCTTTCTCTTATCCGTACCCTATAATAATCAATCATGTTCTCATCTCAAGAGTTTTCTCCACCAAGTTTTTAGGTGTCACAATTGACGAGAAACTCTCATGGAGTGAGCATATCTCAGCTATTGCCAAAGTCACAGCTAGGAACACCGGCGTAATGGCTAAGCTCCGCTCTTTTCTCCCTGAGGCGTCAATGATTCTTCTTTATAACTCTCTTATTCTTCCTCACCTTAGCTATTGTAACATCGTCTGGGCACATGCAACTAAATCTAAGCTTCATCCGCTCACCATAATACAAAAGCGAGCTATCAGGATTTGCACAAATTCTCACCCACGTGAACACACTGCACCTCTTTTCACATCACTAAACACGCTCAAACTAACTGACATTAATCAACTCCACACGGGTATTTTTATGTTTAAATTTGTTAATAATCTTCTTCCTCATTCCTTCTCTTCTTTCTTTACCTCAGTCCGAGATACTCACAGATATTCTACTAGGTCTCGCAATAAGCACAATTTATTCCTACCGTTCACTCGCACAACTCATTCCCTCAGCACTTTGAAATACTACGGCCATCGTCTTTGGAATGCTTTGGACGAATCCATTCGAGGCCAGTCGTCCGTTGGCCAATTCAAACGATATTATAAGAGGATCTTAATCTCAAATTATGTAACGCAGCTTCTTTGATCTCATTAGCTATTTGCTAAGGTTTTTTTTATTCTCCCCTCTCCTCACCATGTTTATTGTTTCAACAATTTGTATAGTTGTGTGTTTGTGTGTTCTTGTCTTGGTTTGTTCGCTGCAATCTCGTTATTGTTTTAGTCCATGTTTTTTGTCATTGTGTACGTTTCTCGTGAATCTCTGTGTTTTTTCGGATTATAAATTATTTGCACAAGGCATTTCTGTACAAGCTTCGCTTCAAGAAAATGCCTTCGTGGTTTCTTTTGTATTTTTTCAGATTTTATATTGATTTAATTTATTGAATTTTCATTTAATTATTTCAGTTCATTTATTTTCTTTGAATTGTTTACTTCATTTATATTTAGTTACTTGGTTTACTACTATGTGTCAGAAAGCACGGAAATAAATAAATCTAAATCTAAAAATAAATCTAAATCTAAATCTGACTTTGCAGCCCCACTGGCTCACACACCCCAAGATTCCCTACACAACCTCCATGACCATGATGAT